CAGGTACCCGTCTTGGGGCTGCTGTCCTCTGATAGACAGGCTAAGGAAGAACCAGGCGTCTGGCTTTTCTGTGGACTATTCCTGGCTGTCTTGGGAGGCAGCTTGCAGCCAGTCTTCTGGATTCCTGACGTCAGAGCTGGGTTATTCTTAGCTGAGGCTCCTCTGATCACTGGCTGGCCCAGGGTAGGGGCCCGGCTGCAGGGCTTTCCCTGGACAAGGGAAACTGGCAGCATGTGCCAGGTCAGCTTGGAGGAGCCACAGAGCAGGGCAACATGCCCAGGGACCTGATGCCAACCTCACAGCAGTTTGTATGCAACATAGCCAGCCACACCAGGGGACAGGGCCTTCCCAGAACAACAGCTCAGCAGCCTAGGGGGCTGGGCTGGCACACAAGCCTGTCTGCCCCCCCCTTTTGTGTGTGTGTGTGTGTGTGTACACACTGTACTAACTTGATATCCTTAGGAAGACACATGCTAGCATCTCTCACCTCCCCAGCAGTGCCATGTCATAGCCCTGCAAATTGACTTACTTTGTCCTCACTCCATAGTTCCCTTAAGTACCATGTGGGGCCCCTGCCCCCTTCTACAGCCCCGTGCTTCCTGTTGGGAACATGTAGACTATATCCATCATGAAATAAGCATGTGAAGCAGGAACAGGGTCCTGGGTGGAAACCCCATTTTTCTGTCCCCTGGCTGGCCAGCAGCAGAGTGCTGGGGGCGGGGCTTGGAAAATGGGGCAAGTCTGTGTTCTCTTTGGCTCTGCTATAAGGAGACCTTTCCCAGTGACTCACACATTGGCCATCCCAAGGCATCCAAGGGCAGTTCATGACCCAGCACAGAAACCCCTTCTTCATGCGGTATAGGCAATGGGCCCTCTGGCCCAAAGGGTCGAGCATCCACCAGCATGGCAAGCCCACACAGGAGAGAGGCCTCTGCTCTAACATTCACTCTCATCTCCTAGGCAGATAGAGTAGCCTGGACTTCAGTCTCCTGCAGGATCAATTGGCCAATTGCTTCTCCACAGCCTTCTTGGTTTCATCCATACAAGCCCCATGCAGGCCTCTCAAGCTTATGGTTTCTCCTGGTCTCATAGTTCCAAATGCTTATTCCAGAAAATTGGCCTTTGTTCAAAGTCTTTTTAAAAATTAATTTATTTATTGTATGTGTTTGTGCACACATGCACCATGCTGAGTGTGTGGAAGTCACAGGATAACTTGTTGGAGTTGGTGCTTTCTTTCCACCTTACAGATTTTGGGGATCAAACTCAGGTTGTCAGCTTGGTGGCAAAAACCCTTACCTGCTGAGCAACCTCACCAGACCCCTAAAGTAAGTCTTCCCCTGGGGTTCCTGCTAGCAGGAAGTAAAGTAGGAGAAAATGGACCTTGGGCAGTCCCTGTTGGACCCTAAATGGAAGAGGCAAGAATCTGGCCAGTGCCATGGGGATTCAGGCTGTCTTCCCCCTGGAGGCTAAGTCCAGGGAGTGGAGCTTTATTAGTACAAAGCCCTCCCCACCAGCCCCCAGGGCCTCTTTGAGGAGTCTCCAGACAGTCCTTCCTGTTAGACTTCCTCTAACAAAGGTCAGAGGATACTGCCCTGATTTCCCAGAAAAGCCCTGGGCTCTTTCTCCCAGGTCCATTGGTCTCTCTAAGAGTTGCTGATGGAACTCCTCTGGGACTAAGGGGCTCATATGTACAAGCAGGTCAGTGTGGTAAGGTCAGTGGGGCAAGGGAGCTTGTCTGCTCAGTGGAAGTACTTCGCCTTCAATTCAAAAACAAGGCATATTGTAGGAAATTACCAATACGGAGTCAGGTAGAAATATAAGGGTATTTAATAAGGAAAAGCCTTACTTACAGAGCGAACCAGCCAGCCGGTGGTAGTCTGTACAGCAAGAAGCAAAGAGCAAAAGCGAAACCGAAACCGAAAGGCAGACACCCTACTCACTCTGACCACGCCCTCACAAGCCTGCCCAGGTACTCCTGTAGCCAGCCCCTAAGAAGGCGTGGCTGCAGCTTCCCCTACAAAGGCACCAGGGGATGGAGGGCGTAGCTACTAGATAGAGCACTAACTTACCTAACACAGACCCACTGAGCCTCGCATTTGCTTCCTACCACTGCATAAAGCTGGGTGTGATGGCTCACATCTCTAATTCCTGGCACTCAAGAGATGAAGACAAGAGAATCGGGGTATCAAAGTCATCCTTGGCTACACAGTAAATTCCAGGACAGCCTGGGCTATGTGAGACCCTGTCTTAAAAAATGCAAGTGTGAGGGACGCTTATGATGAGCCAAGCTTGGCCTGTGAACTTCTACAAGATATTGACAGCAGCCACTGAAAAGTCAGAGGCTGCCCTACACCTAGAATGTTCTTCAACTTATCAGACAGGCCTGCTGGATCCTACATAAGGAATACCATTTGAGGCAGAACAGACCCATCTGAAATAGTCCTAAACATTCGAGGTCAATCCAACAGCAACAAAAGATCCTACCTGTCCATTTTTTCTCCCTTACTCTAACAAAAGAAAAGCAAGATGCTCTGTGGTTTTCACCCAGTTGAGTTAGAAACCTAACTCCACCCACAGATATGTATAACAGGGTTAGTCAGTTGCCAGAACTTTAAAGTAACCAAGGTAAGTGAATGGATAAATTAACTGTGGTCAGCCTATGCGTGGGTTCTGTGCATGTGTGTGCATGAGTCCATGTATGCAGAGAAGTCAGAGGACAACTTCAGGTGTCTTTCCTCTGGCAGATTTTGTATTTTAACATGGTTTCTTCACTGATGTGGGGCTTGTCAATTGGCTAGGCTGGCTGGCCAGGGAACCCCCTCCTATCTCTGCCTCCCCGATTTTCATTTTTATTTATGTGTAAATGTATGTCACTTGTTAACATTTATGGGTTTCCATGGAGACCAGAAGAGAGCACCAGATTCCCTGGAGCTGGAGTTGCAGGTGGCTGTGAACTGCCCAGTATGGGTGCTGGGAACCAAATTCCCATCTTTTGCAGCTTAACCTTCCTAACTTAAGTCCCTGGTAACCATGGAGCTGTCCCTCTCACCTCATGCCTGGGTTCTGGGGATGGAACCCAGCAAATATTTTACTGAGTCATCATCCCAGCACCATCAGGGGACTCTTACTCAGAATTACAAACAAATGAGCAGCCAGGTGTGGTGGTGCACACCTGTAATCCCAGCAGTGGGGAGACTGAGGCAGGAGGACAGCCTGTCTCAAATAAGGAAGGGAGAAAAGAGCAGCAAAGCTGCAAACATCCTGCAGGGAACACCAGCCTCACAACCCATGAGCGTTACCACTCTGGGACACCATACTGCACAGGCTGTGTGCCTTTGTGGTTTCAGCTATACGTTAAACATCTATAGTCCACAAATCTGAAATCCAAAATGTTCCAAAACCCAAAACTTTGAGCGCTGACATGACAGCATGGGTAAGAAACTGTCAAAATCAGCACACTAAAACCATTGCATAAAAGTCACCTTCGGGCTCTACATAAAAGAATCTATTACTCTTCAGGTCTCCACACTTCTAACCGAGCCTGTTAACCTGTGCACACAGCTCTGGGAGGGGCACGCTGCTAGGGAGGCAAAGGCTGGAGGAAGGGCAGGGTGCTGGTAAACAGAGTTCAAGGCAAAACTAGTATATGCTACTGGCATGGTAGTGCATATCCTTGGCCTTGGCTACAGACCCTCAGAATGTGCACCCCAGTGCAGACTGGACTAAGGACCCTGTGACGTGCTGGTGTAGGCTAACCACCTGCAACAAGTGCATCGCGGTACTGTGACAGGTTGACAGATGGGGAGACTGTGGCACATCTCCACTTTGTAGTTTTTCTGTGAGTCTAAGCCTGCTGCTCTAAAGCATGTGTTCTTCCTAAATAAGCTGCAGCAACATTCAGCAAGGGAAACTAAATCCTTGTTGGGCTTTGTAACATCCTCTGGCCTCTGGAAGCATCGGGCTGTGGGTGGGGCTCCCCCAGCCTGCGCTGACTGTATCCCTCTCTCCTTAGCACTGCAGGGAGCGGCCCCGGTCCATGGTGGTCATCGAGGTGTTCACACCGGTGGTTCAGAGGATCCTTAAGCATAACATGGTAAGTGCCAGATTTGTGCAGCTTGTTCTCCAGGACTGTTTTTCTTCACTCAAACAGGCAGAAAAATCTTTTCCCAAGAGGTGAGAATAGATGTTGTGGCTGGGGGCGTGGCCTCCATACAGAGTGGTCCCTACTGTGGGATATAGACAGTACACTGTTCTCCAGGATGTAGAGTGGGACTCTTCACTCTTAAAGGATGGCCAAGTGCAGTGACTTCCTTCGTTCTGATGGGCATGGTGGAGAAGGGTGAGAGCAGCTCTAATGGGAAGAACCTAGCAAGTGTGGCCTTGGCTGGTCATAAATGTCAACATCACAGTGGTGACTGCTGCACCCTCACCCTGAGGGTCTTTCCCCCTGCCTGTCACCCCAGTCCAATCTTAGGAAACAGTATGTCCTTCAGCTCTGCCCAGATCATTAAAATAAGGAAAGTCTGAGCAGCAGGCCCAGGCCAGAGGAAGGACACGTGACAACTGAGTGTCATCTGCAGTCCCAGATGGCACACCAAAACAAAGGACATTGTGAGGGCTGGAGATGATGTTCGGTTAGTAGAGTGCTTGTACAGCATGCATGAGACCCTCGGTTCTGTCTCCAGCACCTCATAAACTGAGTGTGGTAATATACCCCTGTAATCCTAGTCTTGGGGAGGTGGAGGCAGGAGGCAAGTCTGTTCAGGGTCATTCTCAACTACATGATGAATGTAAGGCCGGCTTGTTCTACATGAGAACCTGTCTAAAAGCAAAGGTGGTAGGGGCTTACACATTAGTGGGGAGTGTATGGAAGTCTAAACGGTGTAGAGATTAGTTCATTTTGAAAACATTAAGGCAGAATTTAATTGTTCCCTTTGAAGATCTGGCATTCATCATCTGTATAGCACTTAATGTGAGAATGGCAAATATTTTCTCAGTACTACATGTAGAGTAGGTGAGACTTAACAAGCAAGAGCTGCTGGCTGACCACAGGCCTAAAACACGGGCAAGGCATAAGAATAACAAATGTGTTCCTGGAGATTTATCGGGCACCATTTTAGAGCCAGACACCATGATGTCGTTAATTCATTGACAGCTCTCTGACATTATGTACATAGAAGTCTGGGACCAGAAAGACTGGGCAGGGTCACCAGGGTCTGTGTCATTGTGAGTGTTCATGATGTAGGGAGTGAGTCTCTGAGGTCAGGACACCTCAAGTGTTCTTTTAATGTCACCTGGGCATATGAAAAGCCTCTGAGAAAGGGCAACCTGGAAAGTCAGTTCATGTGCCACACACTATCCTGTGTCCACAGCAAGCCCCTGGGAGTGTTGGAGGTGTGAATATAACCCAATCCCTTCCCCAGGCAAGAGTGAAAGTGCTTGACAGGTGCACCTTCTGTTTCCATGACAGACATCATTAATCAAGCGCAGCACACATGCAATATCAGTGAGAGTTTTGCCAATCAGTGCTCCAGGCAGTAGGAGCAACCGGAAACCATGTGGGTACCATGAGTAGATCCTGCTACTTATGGACATAAGCAGTTCTGGGTTTTCACTGGTAGTCAGTAAACATTTATTTCATAAGGGTTCTTTGAGGGAGGGGGCTTAAAGGGAAAAAGTCAACAGTCTGGCCTCCAAGGCCTCAACCATGCACTGTTAGCCTTGTATTTGGTTCGTTTCATGGGCTTTCAGGTGTGACCATGGGATAATATTTTTAATACAAATAAGAAATAACTCCAGGGCAAATGCATAATTTACATCATCTGCCGGCCTGGCCTTTAAGGGTTGCCCCCTCAGCCACCACAGGCATGGGGCATTAATTATTTGGGTCACATTTGACTCTTGGTGGATCTTGGCCATACACAGACTGACAGGGAGCATAGACAGGAACCAAGGAAAGAACGGGAGATGTAGAGCACGACTTGGAGTCTCATGCCCACACATCCTTAACAGGGCTCAGGGACCTGAGATGGATTCACCTGAGACTCATGTGACCCTAGAGATGGGTTCACCCACCTTCATTCCACAGGGTCCTTCAGAACGGCCCAGACTGACTTGACAGACTGAGACCACACCGCTTTTGTCACCTTTTGTAAGACAATGGGGCGCTGTGGTCATTTCCCTAGAGAGGAAAGCAAGATGAAGTGCCTCAAGGTCTCCCTGCAGGACTCCGTTCCTAGCTCAGTGTTGTATGTGTACATGAGTGCGCGTGCGTGCATACGTGCGTGCGTGTGTGCGTGTGCGTGTGTGTGTGCTCGTGCTCCAGCCCACTTCTTAAGCTCCTCCCTGGGTTCTGTTCCTCCCCTGTGTAAACAAATGACTTGAAAGAACGGGGCTGCTGCCAGGCAGTGGTGGCGCACACCTTTAATCCCAACACTTGGGAGGCAGAGGCAGGTGGATCTCTGTGAGTTTGAGGCCAGCCTGGTCTATATAGTGAGTTCCAGGACAGCCAGGACTACACAGAGAAACCCTGTCTCAAGAAAAAAAAAAAAAAAAAGCACACTGCAAGTAAAGCAACACCCCTACTCTTATGCTGGGGGTTGAATCCAGGGCTCTCCCACTCAGCCTGCAAGTTGCTTTTTCAATAGGTTCCATTGAGCGGGGGAAGATGAATTGGGTGACACCAAATGTCAGCCATGAGACGTCTTGCTGGCCAAATACATCATTTTTCCAGAACTGGAGCAAGAGTGTACCTTCCTCTCACTGCCCTGAGGCAGAGCAGTGTGGACTGGTACCTGTCAACCCTCCTCATCCCATCCGTAGCTGAGCACAGCAATGAGCACAGATGGACAGTAAGGCCGAGGGGCCTTTCCTAAAAGTGCTTCTCTCTTCCTTCACTGCCTATTTCTCTAGACAAGTCTAGGACTCACCAAGCCCCTGGGCCACTCTAGGTACTTGGCTTGTGCCTCCTGGTAGGGCTTGCTCTGCCTACACCTGCTGATGTCATTCTCCCATTATGCCACTCAGCTAGAGCAGGAAGAATCCCTTTGTCCTTGGCCAGGGCCCATAATTAAGCACCAAATACAGTCACAGATGGACACTTGTGGATCTAAATGCAGCTGTCCCCCAGGCTAGGAGCACTTTTTAAGTGGGCAGCCTCCTCCTTTCCCCACCGTCAGTGACGCACCCGCACTGCCCTTCCCTGGCTGTGTGCTTACACGCTGGCTGCCTCCTGCACACCCACACCCAATGCCCACATCTCCTTCCAGCTCCCAGTTACCACTAGGACCCTCATTTGTGCATAGGTCTCACTATGTAGCCCAGGCTGGTCTCAAACTCATAAACTTCCTGCCTCAGCCTCTCAAGAGCTAGGATCATTGGTGTGTGTCATCATTCCTGGCTCTCCCTATGCCTTTGAAGGTGGCTCGTGGTCTTCAGACACTCTTTGCTCTAGAGGCTAGGGGTATCTGGGGTCTGCTAAACCACAGGAAGCCCCTGAGCAACTGTGCCTGGGCGCATCCCTACTCGGAAGCCAGCTTCTCCTGTCACACCTCCGCTCAGGAGGAAGCTGGTGTCTGCTCACTCCTATGGTAGGGTGTGTAGAGCTATACTTGGCCAGAACCACCTTACCTACTCCCAACCCCAGGAGATGAGTACCCTTCCTCTGCTCTGTTGCTCTGCACTGCAGTCTTTCTGGCTGCTGAGTGCCTCAGACACCAGCTCAGAGATTCAGGTGGCTATCACAAAAGAACTGTTTCCCAAGGCAACCAGAGGCCAGGCGAGACATAAGCCTACCCAGCAGAGCCGTGGGTTGGGAAGATGCAGCCTGTACCAGGACCCCTTCTGACCATGGGAGTCATTGGAGGTGTGAGTGGGAGTGTGATGTCTCCCTTCCCCAGTTCCTGCTGGCCGTGCCTTGGTAACTCTGCCTTTGCTGTCTCTGCAGGACTTTGGGAAGTGCCCAAGGCTGAGGCTCTTCACCCAGGAGTACATTCTCGCTCTGAATGAGCTCAATGCAGGCATGGAGGTGGTAAAGAAGTTCATTCAAAGGTGTGTCTCACCTACCTACCCACCCACCCACCCACCCACCCCTCCTCTCCCTGCCCCAGAAATCCTACCTGGTTTATGATACACAGGGAAGAACTGGGTCTCACCTTGTAGGAGGCTCTCCACTGGACTCTCCCAGCCCTGTGTGGTCCCAGCTACTTGCTTATTGTGTGACGGGGAGCCTGTCACTCTGCCTCTATGATCCTGGGAGATTGTTGTGCAGATAACACATGAGGAAAGCCCTAACTCTCCTGTATAGGAATCCCTAAATCATGTTCTTGCCCCTGTGTCTCCCCCTCCCCCTGGGAGGGGCTGTGGGAGCAAGGACCAGGATCAAAAACATCATCACTGCCATCTCACCTTGGCCTGTACTGTTAGCTTTCCTTTTCAGATATTCTCATGCCTCAGTTACCTCATCTGTGGATTGAGGTCCTCAGTATCCTTGCCATCCAGTGACAATCCCAGTGAGCTGAAGTGTACTAATTTGCCCTGCGTTTTAAGAAAACCTGACTTGGGGGCTGGGTATGTGGCCCAGTAGGCAGATTGCCTAACCTGCTTGAAGCCAGGGTTCAGTCCCCAGCATGACAGAAACCATGCATCATGGTGTAGTCCTTAGTCCCAGCCCTTGATAAGTGGAGGCAGGAGGATCAGAGGTCCAAAGTCATTTTTGCCTACATAGCAAGTTCAAATCCAGCAGGTGCTACAAGAGACCCTGCTTCCGAAAGAAGAAAGAAATAAAAAGAGCCTATTGATCCAGTGATGGAACTGGGGTTTGTGACCTGCACTCACTGCAGTCTCACAGGGACTCAGACAGGTTTTTCTTCTGCAGGGCCTGGTGTTAACAGGGTCCCCTTCTAGTCCCTAGTGTGGTCTGTGGGGGCAGGGCAGGCCTGACTCAGTGACAGCTGTTGTGATGACAGTTTACCACAGAGGTTGCATACATCATCCTGGGTTCACAGGCCAGACCATTTTACAGATAAGGACCATGGCACAGAGACTTCCATGACAAACAGTAGTCACTAACATATTACTAAGAACTCAGTGATGTTGGAGGTGCTGTGTTCAGCTAAGGTGACCTCAATGACATTGGTTTTGGGGTATTTTTTTGTTTGGTTGGTTTTGGTTTTTTGAGACAGGGTTTCCTTGTGTAACAGCCTTGGCTGTCCTAGAACTCACTCTGTAGACCAGGCTGTCCTCGAACTCACAGGGATCCACCTGCCTCTGCCTCCCGAATGCTGGGATTAAAGGTGTGTGCCACCACCGTCCAGCTAAATGACTTTTTTTTTTTAATCTACAAAACACACTTTTGAGAGTAAATCTGGCCAGGCGTTGGTGGTGCACGCCTTTAATCCCAGCACTCGGAGGCAGAGGCAGGCGGGGCTCTGTGAGTTCAAGACCAGCCTGGTCTACAAGAGCTAGTTCCAGGACAGCATCCAAAGCCACCCAGTCTTGAAAAACCAAAAAAAAAAAAAAAAAAAAAAAAAAAAAAAAAAAAAAAGAGTAAATCTGTGTCATGAATAGTCATTCCAGAAACACCTGTACAAATGGTACTGTCTCAGGACAGAGCCACTACGTGCTGCATCCTTCTGTGAACTAGGTTTGATTCACTGTCACCATTGAGGAGGGTCTGTCTCTCTTCACACAGTTCAAGGTGTAGAGATAGTCTAAGCAGCTGGCCAGGTCCCTCAGCTGGTACCCCAGCTCTGCCCATTCTTAGCCAGGTCTGCAGGCCTGAATCACCAGCCACATGGCACAGACTCTCTACCTGTCCTCAACAGGGCTGGAAGATTAGGTGGTCTCACACCTGGGCAGTACCTCTGCACCTCAACTCCTCCTCAGGCCAAAAGCTACTCCACAGCCTCCTCACCTTCCCTCTGCTCTCTTCCAGCATGCATGGCCCCACAGGGCACTGCCCACATCCTCGGGTCCTACCCAACCTTGTGGCTGTGTGCCTGGCTGCCATCTACTCCTGCTACGAAGAGTTCATCAACAGGTCAGTGCTAGTGGGCTGGGTGGGGGCACAGTGCCACCCTGTCCTGGGAATGTGTTACTGAAGAGGGTGACTCGCCACCCCTCTCTGGTGGGAGGGGGGAGTGGCTGTTGCTGCCTTGACTTCATGCTGTTTGCCAGATGCCTCAGCCCAGTGGTGTTAGCCCAGCCCTGGCATAGGGCTGAGAAGGCCACGTGATACCCTGTATCAGTAACTGCAAGGCCACAAGGTACCTGGGCTCTAGTTCCGGGGGTATCCTGTGCTGAAGGCTGCTCACTGTGTGGTAGGGTGACACACTGAGGGGATGGGGTAAAGGACTGCTCAGACATTTTAGCACCCTGGAGGCAGAGGCAGGAGGATTACAGGTTTAAGGCTACATAGTGAGAACTTGTCTCAAAAAAAAAAAAAGAAAGAAACAGATGCTTGTGCGGCACCTGTACCTGTGTGCACTTGTGTGTGCATAGGGGAGAGGGTATTAAGGTGTGTCCCAGCCTTGCCATTTGGGAACTTCGGTCTTGCTGTATGGTCTGTACTCCCCCACTCCCGAGAGCCTGCTGCAGAATAGTAGTTTTCAGTGCTGGGAAGCGACTGCATTGTGCCTGTGAACATACACCCCCCCCCGCCCCCGGGCTGAGTGTTCTTGGGGGACACACATAGATCTCTGACCACACCAGAACCTGTCTGGTGGGGAGACAGACATGCACATGGTAAAACTGGGTAGTGAGGGAGCCACAGGGGGATGCTTGCCTAGGAGAGGAGCCCCAGGAAGAGTAAGAGCCTAGGATTTAGGTGGGACGCGTGACTACTGTGGGCAGCTGCTATGTCCTTCAGCTGGGACCCCTGACCCAAGTGACTGGTTATGGCATACTTCTGTCTCTTCATCCCCTCTGCCATTTGCCCTGGTTGAGGCTGTTTAGGGGTTACAGAGGGACACAGGTGCCATTGATCTGTGAACATCTTTCTGTAGTGGATTTCTCGGTCATTAAAGGCTGATGCACAGGGCACGGTGGGGTCTGCTGCAGCTACCCGGTTGTTCTGTTGAAACGATGCGCGCGCGCGCGCGCGCACACACACACACACACACACACACACACACACACACACACACACACACTGTGTAGGCACCATCAGAGCTTGGGAGGGGGCAACAGCACGTACTGAAGCATTTTCTCAACAAAAAGACCCCAGTGCCTTTGGGGTCACAGAATTTGGGCAAATGGCTTCTAAAACCAGCAGTCAGAGAAGAACAGAAAGGGGCTGTGACAAATAAGGGACATTTCTAGGTAGCAGGGCAGGAGAGCAGAGGATTGTTGTTCTTGGTCCTGGTCCTGACATCACCAGGAGACCTCAGGCAATAACGAACCATTTCCTTGTTTTGGAAAGCGGGGCCACATCCCAGGGGTCAGCTCAAAGGCTGCCCCTTCCCAGAGGAATACCGGCTCCTGTCTGTCTTGGGATGTACATCTCGTCCCGTCCCACAGTTGGTGGTGATGTCACCTTGGCAGCCAGGGGTCATGTGAGGTGGGATTTACACCAAGGCAATTGGCTGATGCTGCAGATCAGGGCACCTTTGTCCCGGAGAAGTGGCTGTTGGCCTGTTGCCAGCACAGGATGGGGTCTGTGCAGCTTAGAAAAAAAGGAAGGGGGAAAGGATACCCAGGCCCCTGCTGCCATTCTGGATTACTTGGTGTGGTCTTGGTGGTGTTTGGACTCCCCTGGCCAGAACTAAGAACTCTTGCCCGAAGAAAGTTAGAAGGGTCCTTCAGGGAGGCGCTCTTGAAGATAAGACCACCAGAGACGTGTCCAGGCAGAGGGAGAAGCAAAGGTCTAGTGGTGACAGGGCTGCTGGCCATCGCAGCATTTTTTTCCATCTGTGGTCCTGAACGCCTGCTGCAGAACCACTCAGCCTGCTGAAGTTACATGCAGACATTTTCGGCGGGGGATTTGGGCTTAAATTGCTTGCTTAAATTGCCCATGGTCTGTCTACTCATGGACAGAGGGTCCCTGCAGAGGAGGAGCCAAGGGAAATTAGTGTGGCTAAGACGAGAGACAGGGAAGCTGAAGATGAAGGGGCTCCCCTGGGATGGTATTGGTAGCAAGTGGAGCTCAAGTGGGTAAAGTGCTTGCCACGCAAGTGTGAGGACCAGAGTTCAGATCCCCAGAACCCATGTAAAAGTGGGCCTGGCAGCCATTTGTAATCCCTAACAGTGCGATGGGTCCCCAGAGCAAGCTGGCAAGCTAGGCTAGGGAAGTCAGCATGTTCTGGGTTCAAATGAGAGACTACTTCAATAGATGAGGTGGAGAGCAATCAAGGAAGACACCCAGCGGACGTGAGGGCGATATCTGTCGCCCCACTGATCGCCAGGGTTGATTTGGCTGATCTGGCTGGCTAAGCCGGTATCCCGTTCCTTCCTCACCACTCCATGTGGGTCCCTCCTAAAGCTGCGTGCTCAGTCGAAGAGGACGACCTTCCCCGTATAGAGGAGGACTGGTCAAGGTTACACAAGTAGCTGTGCTTCCCTGCTGGAACCTCCAAACAAGCTCTCAAGGAAGACACCCAGCACCGACCTCTGGCCACTGCATGTCCCCACACATACATGCACCCACACACATGAGAACAGACATGCTCACGCTGCACCACCACCATACACACTCATACACACAATAATAACATGAACAAAAAAATAGATTTAGGTTCAGCATATGGTTATGGGGCCTAAGGTTTGCAGACTGACGGGCGACAGATGCTGAGCCAGAGGACACACTTAAGAGGAAGCGGGCCTGGGTTACATTTTCTGAGAACATGGGTGAGTCAACAGAAAGTTTAAGTAGGGGAGGGATGTCATGAGATTGCCCTTCCAGCACTACCCCCCAGCTGCTGCTGGGTGAGAGATGGGCTGCAGGGCCTCAGTTATGAGGGACTCTCACAATGAAGGCGTGAGGAGGATACGATAGGTTGTTTTTCCTCCCACACAGGCTGGCCTTGGCTCCCAGCAGAGCACAGCTGAGCCTCTGGGAGCCCTCAAGAGTTGGGGGTCCCAGCTGATGGCATGACTACCCCCTCCTCCAGGCCTGGTTCTGCCAAGTTGTTTCCTTTTGGCCCATTGGTCAGTCCCTCCCAGTGTCCTCCAGGCCTCCACACCACTCCCGGTGAGCACACGATGTTCCCGCACTCGAAAGAACAGACAGCCTGACCCAGGTTAGCGTGGCTGTCTGGAAAATCACCGAGCAGAGCCAAGAGGCCTTGAAAATCCACTCCTCGACCCCAGCAGAGGCAAACAGAAGGAACTGGAGTGCTGAGCTCGGGGGAGCAAATGAGGTCTGAGCCCACGGAGATCCACAGGCCCCACCTCACAGACCACATGCAGCTTACGCCCACGGCGGAGTTCACAGGTTTACAGAAGCCAGTGATTGCTTTCCCCCAGCAAAGCCAAATTGTGTTTATTGAGCGCCCTCAGTGGGCTGTGCTCAGCCCTGGCTTGTGGCAGGTGCAAAATGGGCCTTCCCCGAGTCTGTTCGCAAGTTCTGCACATGGCCCTGGAGCTGCCACGTGGAATGCCAGTGCAAGGCCCAGCCCTGTACGCCAGAGCATGTGCTTGCTTCTTTTTGGGGACGTGGCACACGTGTGACAAGTTTGAGAGGGACCAAAACAAGTAGCTCTTTCTTCTTCTTTCTTTCTTTCTTTCTTTCTTTCTTTCTTTCTTTCTTTTTTTTTTTTCTGTATTTGCTTATTTACTTTATTGTGGGAAGGCTCGTGTAGCCAGAGAATGACTTAAAAGAGTTATGCTAACCTTTCACCATGTAAGACCTAGGTACAGATCGAACTCCGGTTGTCAGGCTTAGGTACCAGCCCCCCTAACTACTGAACCATCTTGCCAGTCCAGTGAGCAACTGTTTCTAGCCATCCCTGGTGCTGCGGTTAGTCATGTGTAAGCCCTGACATTTGCTTGGTTCAACCTCCCTATGACTGAGCTCCTTGAGTTTGGGGGTGTTTCAGAAGTTCCCTAGTTGAGGGGAAGGTCTACCAGGATAGAAAAAAGCTATGGTTTTGGAGTCAGGCAGGGAACATGTATGTGGCAGGAAGAGGAAATCAAAGGGGACTTCCTGGAGGAGAAACCTGCAGTCTTGGGGCCTTAGAAGACAGCTTTGTTGGTAGTACCTTAGCACCTAGAGCAGAGGGCTGACCCCAGATCTGGCTGCTTGGACTCATGGGCTGTGACATTGAGAGATCACTTAACCCCATGGAGTCTGTGTCATGAGCTTCTGGGAGATTGTATCTGTAAGCACCTGAGTGAAACCTGGTACCTGGCAACGTGGACCCCAGCCCCAGAATCTGTTACTACTGTCACCATGCCTGAGGATACTGTCCCAGGAATTGAGGGTAACTTTGGAAGGGGCTCTATCAGATCGGGGCTCTGAGAAGTCCTGCTGCAGAGAAGCTACAAACATCAATGTTTGGCCTCACATTTTCTAAGCAACTGTGCCCCCAAAAACCCAATTCCTCAGTCACCACCTTATGACACCTAGCATAAGCATTATATCTTCAGGCAGTTGGAGATGCCAGAATTTAGAGGAGAGGCCCCAAAATACCCCTGGAGAGTCTAGGCTCACCAGAATGTGGGTCTTGGGAGCAATGGATATAGGCTGTTAGCTCCCAGGAGAAGGGCGGATGCTGTGTTTTCTCACCTGGTTGGGGCAGGCAATAAAAGGTCCCTGAAAGGCATGATGGCATCAAGGGTGGGTGGGGCAGCTGCACCTCAGGAGACAGGACTGGATTACTCAAGTGTCACAGGCATATCAGGAGAGATTCAGGAGTGGCGTTGGTTTGTGTGTACCAGTATTACATGGCTGTCACAGTGAGGGTTGGCATTGGTACAGGTGGCTGTCACAGTGAGAGGTGGCATTGGTATGTGTGTACCAGTGCTAGGTGACTGTCACAGTGAGAGGTGGCATTGGTATGGGTGCACCAGTGCTAGGTGGCTGTCATAGAGGTGAATGTTCACTTGTTCAGCAGGTGTTTGTTGAGTCTCACTATGCTAAGCTGTGGAGGGTTATGGAGACAGGCAGACTGGTCTGGACTCCAGATTCAATGCTCCTCTTACTGAGCTGTGTACACCCCAAGCCAAGCCTCCACCTTTCATTCCTAACAGACTTCACAACAGCTCCATGCCCCTGTTACAGGGATTTTAGGGGAACCTGCAACTCCCCAGCACTGATGCATGAACACTCAGGAAATCTGGGCTTCTGTCACCAATGCTCTTTTGTTTTCAGCTTCCTTTTCTAAGACAGGGACTCATTATGTAGCCCAAAGTAGCCTTGAACTTGCAGGCATCCTCCTGCCTCAACAGCCCAAGTGTAAACATTCATTCATCTCTGCTCAATGCTGGGCTTTCTGGTTGCCAAGGCTTACCCCTGCCCACACCTGCTGTTTCTCTTCTTCTCCAGCCGAGACAACTCCCCCAGTCTGAAGGAGATCCGGAACGGCTGTCAGCAGCCATGTGACCGAAAGCCCACCTTACCTCTGCGCCTGCTGCACCCCAGCCCAGACCTGGTGTCTCAGGAAGCCACACTGTCTGAGCCACGGCTCAAGTCGGTGGTTGTGGCCTCCAGTGAGGTCCACGTGGAGGTGGAGCGCACCAGCACTGCCAAGCCGGCGCTGACGGCCAGCACGGGCAACGACAGTGAGCCCAACCTCATCGATTGCCTCATGGTGAGCCCAGCCTGCGGCACCATGAGCATCGAGCTGGGCCCCCAGGCTGGCCGCACACTCGGCTGCCACGTGGAGATCCTCAAGCTGCTGTGAGTACCCCGAACCTGCTATGGGGAGGGCAGGGGTTGCTTGGCCTGAGTCCTGTAGGGGTGGGTGTGGCTCAGAAGCCTGTGTTTGCACACTTGAGTTAGATGTGCAGACTTTGCAGAGGCAAGTGTGTCCCAATTAAGGTAGGAGGATAGCTGCAAGTTCAAAGGCAGCCTGGGTTATATATAGTGAGTACCAGGTCAGCAAAAGCTACTGAGCAAAACTCTGTGTCAAAAACAAACAAAATAGCAAATATGTCTGTGAGTCAGGGTGGGGGGTCCTCCAGCACTCTGCAGTGTTACCAGCCATTTAGCATTTGTTTGTCCTCAGTATAGTCATGCTGCCACCTGAGTTGAGTTAGGGTTCAGAGGGTAGAGGTGGGTTTCCAGCCACATAACTTGTAAACCAGAATTGCAGGGAGAGCACATTGGGGTATTCTGTCCATCTGACTTGTAAACCAGAACAGGGGGTAAGGCATGTTGGGGTATTTTGTGCTCCCAGATAAGTACTGGGCACCTATAGTTGAGGGAGAATATGGAGGCAGCAATCACTTGTCTGTTCTTCCTGTTGTCCTTGAGAGGACGAGGGGGCCTGCTAAAATCTGGGCCAGCCTCTCTGTGTTCCCTCAACTGAGGCCAAGGGAAGGTACAACCCAATTTATTGATTCTACAGCCAAAAGAAAAAGCTTCCAAAATCTATTCAGAGCTTCAAGAACTGAGCTCAGATCCAGGTTTCCGTAAGGCGGAGAGGAGTCTCGTTTCTTTCCTGGCCAAGCCCATAGCACTGTGAGCCTCCCAGGCTCTTGGCGATGGGCTCATGTCTGAGCTATACTCGTAGCAGCAGCCTTCCAGGCCAGAGCTGGCTGCCTTGGGCTATTTCCCGTGGGCCCCAGGCCTCTTGCCACCTGGGTACTTTCTCCTGGGAACATGCAGGACTGAGAGGCATCCCACCACGGACCGAAGTTATCTCCTTTACAATCATTCATGAATGAGTGTTCTGTTCCACCTGCTTGACCAGTACTTCTGCTAGCTGCAGTTCTAGGGCATGGGTCAGGGGTTAGGGGCCATGCCTGGGGCCTGGAACAGTCTGATAAAGCCAGGAAGGGTCACATGAGAGTTTCCAGTATTTCTAAACTCTTTCTCAAACCAAGCTGGCTCTTAGGTCTGTGGTCCCCAGGCCCGCAGACTTGTGGATCTCAATAATCACCAGCAGTTCAGAGGGCTCCAATGTGTATCTTGTGTCGGGGAAAGCAGGTTTAGGTCATCTGGAGCTGGGTGCATGTCCCCCAGGTGCCACTTAATCTGTGGCATGAACCCGTCATATGACCTCTCTGAGCATAACCTTTCAGCCAGGCCTTGGTAACGTAGTGTGAGGATGGGAAGTGATAGCTGCAGCCCCGGTCCAGAGCGGACACCACCACACATAGGTGGACACCCAGTGTGGGAAAGTCATCACAACTGGTGATTGTAGTGTAGTGGTGTTTCCTGTCCCAGGGAAGTCAGGGTAAGGCACATTTCTAATTTCTTGACAACTTAGGAAAAGAACACCGTGGCTTTCAGCATGCATGTGGGTGGCAAGAAGCCAGTGTTTAATAGAAATGGCTTTATCTGCTGAATAACCTGAGACAGTGCTCCTGGCTCCCCTAGGCCTTAGCTTGTCTTACCCCCTTTGTAGAAGGCTGCTATGAGATTTCAGTAATGGGACATTTTCCCCAGTGTCCTATGGTTCTTGGTAAGAGTGAACATTTGGCAGTGCCATCCAGAGGAGAGCTAAGGAAGAGAACATAGACCCAGGTGTGGTGGCACAAGCCTTTAGTTCCGGTTCTTGGGAGGCACAAGCAGGTTGATATCTGTGAGTTCTAGGACAGCCTGGCCTACATAAACAGACCTTGTCTTAAAAAAAAAAAATAGAAGGAGAAAAAGAAGGGAAGGTGGTGTGGTGTGTGTGAAATTGAAGCAGCACTTCACAGGACATTGTGAGGGTAAGGAAAGCCACACTCAGAACTCTGGGCATGTCACTGGCCACAGGGAATATGGGTTAGTATGGCCAGCCAGGCAGTGCCTTATTCTTATCTGTTACCACAAGCCTCCCATGGAGACCCTTAAGAAATGACCTTAAATTGTCCTTTCACAAGACACACCAGGATTGATCTACTTTGGGCCAGCCTGGAGTAGGCTGAGTTGGCTAATACCAGGTAGAGTGGCCTGGGGTCTTCAATAAGGAGAGCCTAGAGCTTTTTCAGGGTCTGCACCCACCTATCTACCCATTCACCCACCCACCCACGCATCCACGTAAGCATTCATAGTCTTTAAGAATTTGCTGCAGTATATAAGTAATTAAAAATAATAAAAAAATGAAAAAAAAAAGAATTTGCTGCATATCTATGCTAAGCCAGGGTCTGTGCTTGAAGCCAAAGGTCCCAGCTGTTTCCTCCACCCTTTCTCTCTGAGTGTGAGGAGCACCAGGTGCCCAAAGTAGTGACATCAAGAGCAGGGTGTGGTGGGGTGCAATGTAGGAAACTGTGGACTCCCATGGGACCTTGGCAGTGGGACACACTTCCATTCAGAAAGAAAGGGCAGCTGAGATGGAGGAGGGACCATGCCCCTGTCTCTAAGCCCCAGGAGCCCCACGTCTACTCCCTCAACTCCATTCTGATTTGAGTGTTTAAATCTCCTTTGAGTTCTCTAATAGCCTTTCTACACAGAACACAGAACAAACCTTACTGTTTTTATATGTGTGTGTAGTATATGTGTGTGGCAAGCAGCAAGCCCCAGTGATTCTACCCACCACAGCACTAGAGTTGCAGGCATGTGGTGCCGTGTTTTCTTTCTTTCTTCTTTTTTTTCAAGACAGGGTTTCTCTGTGTAGCTTTGGAGCTTATCCTGGCACTCGCTCTGGAGACCAGGCTGGCCTCGAACTCACAATAATCAGCTCAACTCTGCCTCCCATGTGCTGGGATTAAAGGCGTGTGCCACCAACGCCCGGCGGGTGCTGTGTTTTCAAACTCAGGACCTCATGCTTACACAGCAAGCACTCTTACCTACTAAGCCATTCCCCTCCCTCCCAAGCTTCCAAATTTTATTTTATAAAACTTCTTTTATATGTGTTTTGCCTGCGTGTATGTCTATGTGAGGGCGTCAGATCTTGGAGTTATAGACAGTTGTGAACTGCCATGTGGGTGCTGCAGAATTGAACCCGGGTCCTCTGGAAGAGCAGTCAGTGCTCTTAACCACTGAGCCATCTCTCTGGCCCCTGTAAAACTTTAAAAAAAAAAAAATAGAAAAAGACCCAACAAGTGTAACCTTCTTCTGCAGGTATGAATTGGTCACCTTCTGGTGAAGCACTGGACTGCCTGGCGGGCAGAAGATAGACAGGAGTCAGGATCCTGGGTTCAGGGTTCAGCTGTGACTTGAGACCAAGGCTGAGATGCCTGTGTTCCAACATTTGTGTTTATAAAGCAGTGACAGTGGCACCCACCTGTCCAGGAAGGTTCTCAGGAGGGCCTTGGAAGAAAGCACGTGGCACACAGTGAACACTACATAGGAAGTCACGTTCCAAGGTGCTGGAGACCATGAGTCAGTTAAGGGTGGAGGGGATCTCATGGGAAGGCAAGCTGGCTACATATGCAGATGACACCCTCCCCCGACCCAGGAAGGAAGCAAGGGGAATAGGTGCTTCTAGCATGCACCCTGGGGCCTCTGAGCTCTGAGACCCTCGGTTGGCACAGTCCGTAGGCCTACCGGCCTCCAGCACACAGTGCAGCAGGCTATCATGCCTCTCACCTCCTGCTGCCTGAACCTTAGACATCCTGTCCCTCCCTCTCTCCCTCCTCATGTGGGTGTTGCAGAGATGAAGTGAACAAATCTGAGCCCAGTGCAGGGCACAGTGCATGCCTAGATGTCAGCCGTATCAGTGTTAAGACTTATCTAGCACCGCCAGCCCCTTCTGGCAATTCTTTTTCATGTTGTTCGTCTGGGCCTTTCCTTAGAACCTTCCAGGGTGTGATCTGGATCCTGAAGGCTTTATCGTGGGTTCATTCAGAGGGCTGCAGGGCGGGAATAGTCCAGAGCCAAGGGTTATCTAAGCTGTTCTTTGTTAGAAGGAAGCATTTGTTCTGGGGCCGAAAAACAGCAGACTGCATTTCTATGAAAAGCCCAGGTAGGGGGACAGGACACACACGGGCGGGCAGGATATCAGCAGTGTTAAAATCAAGAAGGGTTGGTTGGCCAGGTGTGATTCAGTTGGTAGTGTGCTTGCCTAGCTTTCACAGCATCCTGGTGTCCACCCTTACCACTGCATAAGCCAACCCACAGTGGAGCATGTCTGTAATCCCAGCACTTGACAGGTGGTCCAGGAGTTTAAGGACATCCTCAGCTACATAGCAAGTTCCGGGGCTAGCCTGAGCTACATGAGATCCCTATCTCAAAATCAAAAGCAAATGATTGAATGGGATTGGAAGAAGAAGAAGGGGCAGGGGGAACATGTGGGATGCTCATTAGTGGAGGTGATGGCAGGAAGCTGGAATTCTGAATATAAAAGAGGAACAAGAGTAGGCTTTGAGCCCAGGGCCAGCCATCCACCCAGCCTCTAAAAGATGAGCCTCATGCCATGAGAACAGACTACAGTTTGCTCTTAGCTACCTAGTGTGTATACATGTGGGGGTCAGGGGACAATGGGGGACGGGTTAGTTCTCTTCTTCTACCACATGAATTCTGTGGCTTGAATTTGAACTTGGGTTGTCGGGCTTGGGGACAAAGTACCTTTACCCACAGAGCCATCTTGCTGGCCTTGAGACTCTGTCTAAAAAGAAAGACGTTTCTGGTAGATGAGGGCAATGCCCAAAACTGTGGTTGGTTGATTGGTTGGTTTTTCTTGAATCGGTCTGTAGGCTCCCCTTTGGGTCTGGTCAGTCAGCAATGAGAGGTGTGCTTGTACTATTGTGACACCACCACAGGCCAGAAGAAGGTAGGACAGGGCTGACCTGCCCTGGTGCCCTTTCTCTGAGTCCTTTAGGTCTTTTCTCTATACATATTTGTCAGTCAGATTGGGTCAGGGTCCAACCTAGTGGCCCTGTGTCTTTCCAAATGTCACATTCTGAGGTATAAGGAGCTGGGACATCAACATGGATTTAGGGATTGAAGACCTAGAACAGTCCCTCACCCTCGGCCATGGCTCAAAAGGCCAGTGAGCTGAGACAGAAAGCCCCAGTTCTGAGCAAGGTAGATATGTTCTTTGTTGATTCATGCTGTGCTGTGGACACGTTTAAGAAGTAGGTGTGGCAGAATCCATGTTGTGTGATAACACCAGACACTTCCTATCTTATGGTCCACTCAGGATGACATGTGGAAAAAACCTCTCCCTGCAACCACCCCTCACCAGCTTCCTCTCTCATTCTAGGTCCGACTATGATGACTGGAGACCATCTCTGGCCAGCTTGCTTCAACCCATTCCATTCCCCAAAGAGTAAGCCCTACCATGCCCTGTCCAAATGGGAGGAAAACTGCCAGAGAGGGAATAGTGTCACTTCAAGAGACTCAGTATTCAGGGGAGCAGGGAGGTGCTGAGACCCACAGCCGAGACATGGAGATGTAACCTGGCTTTGGGGGTCTGTCTGAAACACCGAGAATGTGGTAGGAGCAGTCTCGGGCTTCGTGGCAGCAACATAGGGAGGGACTTATTAAATTCAGAAGAGGTCAGAGCCATCTCCACCATACCTAGCCTATAGTCACTTTAACAGTTTTTAATTATGCACCAGGTGAGAACAATACTACCCTGCCTCCCTGGGGAACAGTAAAAATTGACAGTTAATATACTACTGTGCTAGGCATGGCAGCACATGCCTGTAAATCAGTGGTTCTCAACCTTCCTAATGCTGAGACCCTTTAATACAGTTCTGCAGGTTGTTGTGGTGACCCCCCCACCGTAAAATTAGTTTTTCATAACTGTAATTTTGCTACTATGTATGTATCTGATATGTGGGATATCTAATATGCATTCCCTGTGAAAGGGTCATTCATCCTAATGGGGTTGTGACCCCTAGGTTGAGAACCATTGCTGTAATTACAGTTGCAGGCTAGCCTGAGATACACAGCAAAACCCCATCTGCAAAAGAAGGGATGGAAGGCTGGAGAGCACTTAGCATGCTCGGAGCCCTGGGGTCACTCTCCAGCACCAAAAAGGAAAAGAAAATACATATGGAGAACCATTTCTACGCTGTGCAGGGGAAGGCTAACTGCACTTTCTCCACCTTAATGGCCATTAGCTCACACCACACTCTGAATGTGGCCAGAAATGGACTCTTTGTCTCTCTTTCACCCACCCTCATACTAACATGGAATGCATCATGGGAAACAGTTGTGTGGTGGGTCACAGCCCGCACAGAGCTTCAGCTGAGCCACAGGCCTCACATGCCTGCAGGCCTGTTTTGACAGATTAGAAGCTGCTGGGCCTTGGGAGGCACTGGGGGCTCTCTGCAGAGCCCATTAGTGAGCCTGTGTTTATGAATGCAGCTCCTTGGAGGGGGACATTACACCTAGTAATTGCCCCATTTGCTGGCCTGGCTAGTTCCCTCAGGGCCCCCAAGAATGGAGACCGGAGAAATCTGACTCCTCAGAGCCTCCTCTGTCTGTGGCATCATTGGCTGCAGCAGCTGTCCCCACAGGCCCTGGGACCCGCTTGACAGTGGCCCATGATGCAATTCACTTGGAAGAATGGTCCCTGATTGCCTGGCAATGTGCGCTGGTAATTAGTGCAGCCTTGCCTTAATTGTGGAACAATTAACAAACACACCTGGGTCCCTGGAGCCCACGTGTGCCTTCACGTTCACGCACCCAGTTAGCGCCTCTGCAGTTGGCTGATGTGGGCCTGGTGTTTGTTGGCTTTGGGGACACTGGGGGCTCAGCCTATTCGTGTTACTGTGATCCTCACCTTGTCAAAGGGGGGACAAGATATCCGCCATTCTTCTAATCAGAGCTGAAGTCTAGATGCCCCGGTAGGAAATGTGATCGTTGCACTTTGAAGGCCTCTAACTGCCTGTCTCTCTGGTTTTGGTACAGAGCTCTCGCACATGAGAAGTTCACCAAGTGAGTATGCCAGAGGCACCCACCCCGCCTTCTCCTGCTGCAAGTGCCCCTGCTCTGCGTGCCTCACCAACACAGCCTTGCCACCGCTGGCCTCCTCCTGCCCATTCTTTGGGCCACATACACTTTGGGAGGCTGCAGAGGCTCCTCCTGCAGTCTCCTGTGACACACTTCCAATCCCTGCTAGGAAATGCCTCGTGTGCCTTGCCTTGTCTACTCCCACCTGCTCCTGGACTCCCCTCCATCCCTCTCCAACCACCACCACCCCACCTCCTCACCCCCTGCCCTGCCATGTCCACTCAAGCCTGCAAATAACCCATCCTCTTCCTTCCAGGGAGCTGAAGTATGTGATTCAGAGGTTTGCAGAGGATCCAAGACAGGAAGTAAGCCTTTTTCTTTTTTTCCTTTTTTTTTTTCTATAGTAGGAAAATTGTTTGTGAGCCTCCTAGTTCTCCTTGCAGAGGCCATCTTGTCATTGGATCCTTAGTACAAATTTTGCAGGCTCCCGGCCTTGTTGCAAGCAACCAGGTGTGACCTTGGACTGTCGCTTTGGCTAACCAGAGGCTGGCAGCCAGTGTCTCCATGCCACGTGGAGACTCACTGTCTTTGCTTTCTGTTTGTGGGTCTGTGGTAGATGTATCTGTGCACCAATGACTCGTAGCATTGACTCTCACCTCAAGTTAATGATCAGCCCCTACTCACAACCTGCTTCTGGGGAGTAGGCAGGAGGCATGTGGAAATCCCTCCCAAACGTGAACACACATGTACCCATGTGCTCTGGGAAGGGACCAAAGGATTGTTCTTTGTGCCCTAACATTGTCCCCACTCTAGACAGAGACCCTTCAGTAGAGAAAGACTGATAAACAGATAAGGAGGTGAAGGCGAGCCCTCCCAGAAGAGAATCTTGGGGTTGGAGAGAGCTCTGAGATTGCTAGGACAGGCCTAGAGGGAGGACTGCCCACACAGGAAAGGTGAGGAATGGGGCAGAAGGCAAAACATCCCAAGCCTGAGGGTTACTAATAAACCCCAGACAGGGAGGGACAGAGAGCAAGAGAGACCTTTAGGCACATAGACAGCAGAGACCCAAGCAGAAGAGGAAGGGGCCCACCCAGAGAGAAACACACAAAGATACAGAGACAGGGCCTGTTTGGGACTGTTCTGCCCTGGGAGGCCACAGCCTTCTCTTCCTTAGAGCTTTTCCCAGCTAGATAGGCCTTGTGGCTGTCCTAAGAAGCCGAGTGCACATGGCTGGACTTCCACAGTGTAGAGGCGCCTGTGTGCTCCCCAGAGGCCCGTGGAACTTAGTAGAAGGCCAGACCAGTGGTTGTGGAGCTGATGGAAGCTTGTGCACTTCCTGACTGCCTGGTTGTCAATACCATTCACATTTCCTTTGTACCTGAGTCTGTTTGGAGCTGATGATGTGTTTGCCCTCTACCCACAGGTCCACTCGTGCCTGCTGAGCGTGCGGGCCGGCAAGGATGGCTGGTTCCAGCTCTACAGCCCTGGAGGGGTGGCCTGCGATGATGATGGGGAGCTGTTTGCCAGCATGGTACATGGGGTCCCCACAGGAAGCTGCTGGTGGGCATTGGGCTGTTCCATCCTGAGTTGCATAGCAGCCAGCCGACTGTGTGGCCTGCCTGCCAGTCTTCTGGCCAGCACAGTGCCAGCCATGAAGAGGGAGGTGACCAAAGGGGGAATGTCACTCATTCCTGCTTACCTGAGCCAAGAGCCTGATGCACCCAGCCTGTCACCTGCTCTGGGGAGTGAGGACCTTCACTGTCCCTTCATTTTACAGTCCAGGCAGCTGAGGGTCCAAGATCACGCTTGGTTGTCATGGTGATTTTCTGTGCAAGGGACAGATGCAGCGTGCCACAAGGTACTGCAGTGCCACCTGCTCAGTCAGTCCTCGTAATGAGGGGCTTGAGGTCACTGAATCAGTAACTGCATTCACATGGCTTCTGGTACTTTCTTACCATAGAGCAGTGGTTCTTAGCCCTCCTAATGCTGCGACCCTGTAATACAGTTCTTCATGTTGTGGTGACCCCCACCCATAAAATTGTTTTGTTGCTACTTCATAACTGTAATTTTGCTGCTGTCATGAATCATAATCTAAATGTCTGATATGTGCACCTCACCCCCATGAAAAGGTCATTCAACAACTCCCTAAGGGGTCATGACCCACAGTTTCAGAACCAGTGTCACAGAATCACACGTGGGCTGGAACAAAGGCCCAGAGAGGTTCAGTGGCTTGCTTGACAGGACCTGTTTGCAAGCTCTTTGTAGGCCAACCTACTGTCTAGAGGTAGTAGCTTCTTCTGTAGCAAAGGGACACAGACTCCTCTTTCCCCAGGACAGAAGGTCTGCCCAAGTGACAGTGACCTCAGCCACTCTGTTCCCTGACACACCCAACTCCATTCACAGACAACACATTCTTCTGGGGTCATGTGACATAAAGAAAATGCAAGCATCAGCTAGTCCTGGGCCTTAGGTCACTACCCAGTTTTTCACCAGTTGACCTTGCATTCTGACTGGCTTGTCTGGGCTCCAGCTTCCTCATATGATAAAACAAGAGAGACTTCCCCAGAGCATCATAGCAGTTGTGTGTAGTGGCAGGCATGAGATACCCACAGAGCCACCAGGACTCTGAGACCCCCGCTTGGCTCAGGTTATTCTTGTCTCTACAAGAGACTGGTTTGTAGGGTAAACAGTTACCACCGTGAGTTTGTAAGAGATCTGTGCAATGACGATAAACAGGCGTGTCCTCTTAGACATCACCTCAAGGGGTTTATTTTTAGGTCCTTTTTCTTATGAATCTGCTCAAAACCCCTGGCCTGCTGCCCTGGACCTGCTTTCTGAGTATCCCATGTACCTAGAATCATACCCAGCTGCCTGCTTGTGCCACGTCTCCCTTACCATCACTTCTCTGGCTTCCTCTGATGTCACAGCTTCACCATGGCAATGCTTGGTGTCTCCCCCACCCCTTCATGGGAGACTCAATGTGAGAGAAGGCACAGGGAGTCAGCTCCCGCCCAAGTGATTCCATTTGTATGCCAGAGTTGTTAATGATGGGGCAGAAGAATATATAGACAGGGAAGGAAGCAGGCAGCCTAGGGGATAGAAATGTGTTGTTTCCATGGAGACACATGGTGAGAAGTGGTCCCTGGATTAGGCTGCCGTTTCCAGAAGGCCTTTGCTATTATATGAAGTTGCAGGGTATTTGGTCTCCCTCACCTCTGATGACAGGTTGGGGACACCTTTGCTCTTACCTGTAAACACAGCAGCATCCCCTCCAACGTATCTCAGGAGGGAGCAGGCTTTGCTGGGTGGGTGATCTCTCAAAACATCTTTTGGTATCACAGAGAAAGCAGGGCACACAGAACAGCCCAGCTGCCACATGAGTCAGACCTGTTGTTCCCCCACCTAGCTAGGACTGCCTGGAAATTTCTCTCTGGTACCCTCAATGCTAGAAATTCGCAAGATCAAATACCAGCATCACCCAAAGGGAGCCGGGGGCGGGAGGCTCCTCTTTTTCTATAGTAAACTAGAACTTGAGTGTTACCATCCTGTGCAGGAACGCCCCAACATTCGGGTACACGGCTCTGCTACCATCAGTACCGCCCGTCTCTGGAACATGTTGCCCACCAGTTTCATCTCTGTGCCCTTCCATGCTAACTCTCTGCTCCCCTGGTCAGCTCCAGTGGCCCCTGTCTCACCTGTCTGGGTGACTGTACCTGTTGCCTGCACTCTGCCCCAGTGTAGTCTCACGTTTGTCCGGTGTTGCTCAACATGTCCTCAGTCACTGTCCACAGGGATGGTCTGGTGGTCACTGGAGACCAGGCTGTTGGCACAAACAGGGAGGGTCACCATCTTCTGGTTTCCCACCTGTCCCTGTCCACAGGGGGCTGGCCCTGAGGGTCACAGCACTGCAACAGTATTCTGGTTGCTTCATCCGAGTCTTCTTGCTTCCCAGGTGCACATCCTCATGGGCTCCTGTTACAAGACCAAAAAGTTTCTGCTCTCACTGGCAGAAAACAAGCTGGGCCCCTGCATGCTCCTGGCACTGAGAGGGAACCAGACCATGGCGGAGGTGAGGCCCTGGCACAGGTGGCCTCACACGGGATCTGTGTGAGGAGCCAGCAGTGTGGGCAAGGCAGGTGTGGTTGTAGCCTCTTGACTGTGTGTGTGGCTGCCTATCTCAGACTGCTGCTGGTTCATTCCAGTTGGGATCCATCATGTTGGTCACAGCTGTCTACAAGTTTCTGTTCTGATTGCCTATTACTACATAGCAACTGTCTGTGCATGAAGTACAGAACCATTAACAGACCAAGGTGTAGGCAGGCCCGCCTGAGCTGTTCTCCATTGGGGTCTCTGGGGTTGTCACCCATGGGGTCCTTCGGAAGGCTTTTTTCTCTGACCGGAGGACTGAGGCAGCCCCAGCTTCTCTCTGCTTTGTGTGACTTCAGGGTCACTGCTCAGTTATCAAGAGCACAAGCCCAGGGCCCTCGTGCCACTTCTAACTGTTCCTCGTTGGTCCCCTTTTCCCTGATACTCTACGAAGTGTCCCCCAGAGCCAGACACTCCCAGAGCACCTGTCCCATGAGCAACGGGATTTTATAATAGCTGTCAGAATTGGAAGGCATCACCTTGCCACATTCTACCCTCTAAAAGCAGTCACCAAGCTGCCCATCAGTCAAGGGGTGTGAATAGGATTCCACCTTACAGGGAGGAACAGGAAGGAATCTACTGACCTGTTGGAAAAAGCTTAAATTTTCCCGGAGGTAGGATTGAGACGGTAACATGGGGACAAAGGCAGAGTACTCCAAATTTTGGGAACGGCATATGCCAGGGTCCTGTGGCAGGCCACTCCCTGACACACCCCCATGACTCCTGGCAGATCCTGTGCTTGATGCTGGAATACAACATCATTGACAACAACGACACCCAACTGCAGATCATCTCCACGCTGGAGAGCACAGACGTGGGCAAACGCATGTACGAACAGCTGTGCGACCGGCAGCGGGAGCTGAAGGAGCTGGTAAGCCCTCCCCATTGCTCACTGTTCCCAGAGCATGAGATGGCCCCTTGGGACTGCTCCTCCACACCCAAAGAGTTTGGGAATGTTCCCTGTACTACTCACATGATTCTAGATGGACCCAGGTAAAGCAGGTGGGCTGAAGTCACACAACCCACTTCCATTCATTGCAGGGGCCCGGGAGTCATTGTCATACCCAGTCCTAGCTGAGAGGCTATCTACACACGTGCACACACAGGCCCATCGGGCTGTTCTTTTCCCTGGAGCCATCCTCCCTCCCCACTATGGCTCTTGACAAAAGGTGTGCACAGCCCAGGTCCTTACCATGAGACATCTGGTGTAAACTCTCTGTATCATTTGCCAGGACTTTTGGTGGAAGTGGTGCCACTTACCCCAACAAGAACTGGGTGGGTGATGTCCCTTCCAATCAGAGTACCTTCCCTTTTTCCTCTTCCACTATTTCTTGGTTGTCACATATGCCATAAGCTGCCTGTGCTGTGGCCACCATGGTGCCTTCTTGCCCAAGAAAGTAGCCACGGCTTCATGAGGCTGGTGGCAGAGGGGATGTATGACTTAACTGGTCTCCTTTCTATTGCAGCAAAGGAAAGGCGGGCCCACCAGGCTAACACTGCCCTCCAAGTCCACGGTAAGTAGCTTTTAGTCTGCAGGCGTGGGGTGGGGTGGGACAAGATGGGCAGAGCAGGGAGGTGAACTGGCCAGCTGCTGGGATGAGGTTTGACCAGGAGGGGAGAGAAGGTTTGACCATGGGAAGGGAGTTGGGCCAACTCTTCTAGGAGGTAAGTGGACTGAAGGGAAAGAAACGAAAACCAAGCAGAATTAAGATGTTATGCTAAAGCTTGTTTTTGATCCTGATGCTGGGGTTGCAGTTCACGGGTAGAGTACCAGTTTAGCATTTGTGGAGGCTCCAAGTTCAGTCTCCGGCACCTCAAAAAAGACAAAAGGTTGCTGGTGACATCAGCAGTATTGCCGAAGCCTTGCTAGTAACCATGGTAACAATAGCTAATAGGCACTGGACTGTTAGTCTGTTTGACTTTTACAACCCTATGAGATCTACACAACGTTTTCCCATTTTCCAAAGTCTTTGGGGATCTAATTTCCTGCTACCCCACTGTCCTCAAGGCATGGCTTCCTGCTCATGGACCAAGAAGCCTGCCCAGGCACCAGCCACTGTGGCTCCATCCCAGCCAGCAAGGAAGGAGGAAGTGGCAGGGTACAGCCCGCCCTTCCCTTAGAGATTCGTCTTAGACGTTCCATTTAAATCTCATTGTCCATATTCGGGCCACAGTTAGCTGCAAAGGAGGCTGGGGCATTAGCTGTAATTCAGGGGACAGCTAAAAGTCAAAGACAAGACCCTCAGTCCAGGGCATGCAGCATGTGTGGCCCTCTGCTGGCTTGGGACTGAGGGTGGCAACTGGCTGTTCACATGGAAACCCCACAGGAGCTGCTGGCCAGGGGGTGTGCATGCATCTGCACGCTCACACATACACAGGCACAGCACACGTGTGCATGTGCACGCTCTGCTTGGGAGGGGGCTGGCCTTGGTTGCAGCCCGGCCGTGACTCAAGCTGTGAGTCACACCACAGGCCGAGCCACCACCCTTCGGCTCCCGGGGACACGAGGCCCTCGGTGTGGTCAGAGACAGTGTTGGCTGCAGACAAGGCAAGGGGAGAGGGCATGAGGCCCACATGATAGATGCCCCAGCCTGCCCTGAGCATCATGCTACCCACTGCAGGATGCGGACCTGGCCCGCCTGCTGAGCTCTGGCTCCTTTGGAAACCTGGAGAACCTCAGCTTGGCCTTCACCAACGTCACCAGTGCCTGCGCCGAGCACCTCATCAAACTGCCTTCCCTCAAGCAGCTCAATCTGTGGTCCACGCAGGTGCCGCCCCGCCCACACCCCACACCCCATCCTCTTCCTCACCCCCCATACTACATCTTTTTGCCCAGATCTCATGGGCTCAGCCACTGGCTCTGCACGCATAACCCTAACCCATTCCCCCAGACAGGAGGCGGTTGGGAACCTCATGCCACTTGTCGGCCCATTTCCCAGTTGGGAACACTGAAGCCCAGGGCAAACCCTGCACAGACCTCTAAGCTGGGAAACACAGGGCTGAGAGTTCACCTTGGGTCTCTCTGGCCTGTCAGGGAGAAGTACATGAGTATTCTCTTGGAGCCTGCTGGGTCTCAGTGTGGTCCCACTGGCCTAACCCTTTGAGGTACACAGGCTCTTCTGTCTCTTGGAAAGGCCACCCAAGTGCTGCCTTCTGGCTTCAGCCCCTGGGTTCACACTCTCATAGAGGCCCTTGCTTGGCATATGTCCCAGTCAGAAACTAGATATGAACTTGAGACAAAGGGATGTGTGACTCTGAGAAGAGGGCATGGCCTCATAGCTAGATCCCATCACCTCCCACTCTTGCCCAGCCTTAGGGTCCCCTCCCCTGGGCCTAGAGAGTCTAAAAACCCATGTGCCCCACAGTTTGGAGACGCCGGCCTGCGGCTCCTGTCGGAACACCTCACTATGCTCCAGGTGCTGAACCTGTGTGAGACCCCAGTCACCGACGCTGGCCTGCTGGCCCTCAGCTGTGAGTACCCAGTCTGTGGCAGGTGGGCTGACCCCTAGCTGGACACCCTGAGAAGGAAGCAAGCAGTTCATTAATAACCAGTTTGTAGCAGACTATTGCACGCTGGCACAGGCAAGGTGCTGGGAACACACAGAGGGGTGTCCCTGCCCTCAGGGAGCTAGAAATGTAGAGGAAAGGGGGGAAGTTTGTGAGATTGGCCTGTGCCTTCCATCCATCCACTGTAAAACACCATAAAGTTTTCTAGGGCACCATTGCCACTGGTGTCACAGCAGCTCCAGCCTCGGCAGCTGCAGCTCCAGACTCGGCAGCTGCTCAGAAACACTGCCTCTGTGCTGCTGGGTCCCCAGGCATTCCTGGGCCTGTCCAGATTGAGAAGCATTTAGTAACAGGAGCCCGGGGAAGGGGCTAGGACACTGGTTCCACAGAGCTCTGAACAAGGGGGCACAGCCTGGGAATCTGCATGCTGTGTTTCCCTGTTTTCTAACTTGCTACCTTAGATAAGAGGCCTCATGACTCATCTGTGAAACGACCAAACAGGCCTCAGGAGGTGGCAGAGAGTAACAGTAGATCACACAAGTGGCTGTGGCACTACTACCAAGCTTGGGTACCAGTTGTGGATGGCGGGAGCTCTGAGGTGGGGAAAAGGAGTGATGTTTGAGCAGCTCCCTGCAGGATATTCCTGCAGGAGTCACACATGGGTGCTTGGATCTGATTCACAGTGGGGAACCCCCACTGGTCTGCCCCTCCCCCTCGGCATCCCAACAAAAGCATTTGGATACGTCTCCAGCAAGCACCGTATGGCTCTTGAGACCAAAAGTCAGAAATGTGAGTCAGCAATGCTAGGGAGCATTCAGGATCCCCAGAGGTGGGGCTAGATCTGAAGGGGAGAGGACAGAGGTCCCAAAAAAAGACCCAGCTCTGAACCCCAGAGTATGAAATGGACTACCTGGTGGTCACGATGACTGAACCCACTACCATCTCAGCTCCCTTGCCCATCCACACTGAGAGTGGCCTGCAGTTTTAGTGTCCCCATCCTGCCATAGTTTTTCATGTGGTCTCAGTCTGTCTGTCTATTCTTA